CATTCGACCCCCAAAGAGGTCGCAACCCGCAGTTTGAGAACCCCTGCTCTAGTTTTTTAATGCTTCATCCCTCCACCCAACTATCATGACCCTAATTCTACCTTACAAATCTGGCTAGACCAGAGCATGTACACGGGTACAGATAAGATCTTGCAACACAGGAAACACAGGGTGGGGGAGGGAGGCAAAAACAAAACAAAAACGAGGAGCTGATACCAAGGACTCAAGTAGAAAGAAAATGTTTTGAAAAGAATAATGGCAACATACGTACAAATGTGCTTGACAAAATGGATGTATGGATTTTGATACGAGCTGTAAGTGCCCAATAAAACGATTAAAAAACAAACAAAATAAAAAGAATGAGTTAGCAGAATTGGAGGAAGGGCAACACAAGCCCATGATATGCAGATGACACAAGCCCCCTTGCTGAAAGCAAAGAGGACTTGAAACATTGATGAAGGCCCGAGACTACAATCTTCAACATGGCTTACACCTCAGCACAAAGAAAGCACAGTCTTCAGAACTGGACCAATTATAATAAATGGAGAAAAAGTTAAAGGTGTTAAGGATTCTATTTGACTTGGCCCCACAATCAATGTCTATGTAAGCAGCAGCCAATCAACACAACAACATATAGCTGCAGAAGACCTCTGTACAGTGTGCCACAGCAAAATGCCACCTAGGGAACTGACCGAGCCATGATGCTTTCAATTGTCTCGTATGCATGGGAAGAGTGGAGAATGTATGACTAGGGAGAACTGAAGAAACCTGGATGGATTTGAATTTTGGTATTGGCAAAGAATGTTGGATACACCATGGGCTGTGAGGAGAATGAACCAGTCTGTCTTGAAGAAGTACAACTGGAATGTACCTTAGATTGAGTATGTCTCATGTACTTTGACCGTGTTACCAAGAGGGAACAGTCCATGGAGAAGGACGCCTTACAGCAGAGGGTCCGTGAAAAGAGAAGAGCCCTTAAAGAGATGCGTTGATACAATTGCTGCACGTTGACCTTAAACATAAGAATGATGGCGAGGACGGCTCGGGACTGCGCAGGGTTTCATTCTGCACCAGACACTCTGCACTACACAGGAGTCAGAACTGGCTCGACTGCATCTAACAAGTGTCCTCAGACTTGGAATAATAAAAGAAGACCTAAATCACCTCCGAACACAAGACTGGTCAATATGATACCTCAAGCATTATAACTTGGAGATTATCTTCCCACCCCACCCCCCTAAACGGTGCTACATTAGCAAAAGCCAGAAACATTTGAGGCAACAATCAAGTCGTAATTATTTGTTGTGTATGCAAGTCCTCACACCTATTTAATATCAGGAGAGAAATGAAACGAGTGTAAATATTGTTCCTGCTGTCCCCCAGACATGTGGACACACTACATGGAATCTTATTTGGATCACAGGCTTTTTCATTTGACAAATGAGATCAAACATTCTTACTGTGTAGTTGGGGAGACAAATTTACATGGGAAAATTCTAGTATCATAATGCAACTCAAAATTGCTTACCTATCTGTTAACAAGAGCAAATACCTAATGCATTCACAGCTGGAGGTCAAAGAGGGAAAAGGAGCAGAAACTGCAAGGACGTATTGAGTGTCTCCTCCATGAAGCATGGTGCTTTATGCACTCTGAGAACATCCCGAGTAAGAAATTCCTAGATCTTGACTCGAACCTAGAGTAGTGAGTTGGAATTTCATAGGAGGAAGAAATAAGATACCGTATATCCCATGCAATGAGAATATAGATTACAACTACAGTGGAGCATAAATTCTGAGCACTAGGTTTGCAGATTATATTTGCAGTGAAAACACTAGACCTATTTTTGAGTCTCTGCATTGATTCAAACCTCATTGAGCTCTTCCTGACTAGAAAGACCAGGAGAGTGTGTTTGAAAGTGGGTTGCTGCTACTCTGATAGCCAGACCAGGGAGGGGCAGTCTACCTATGGGGATTTGCCTCC